TATTTCTACATTTTTGGTTTGAATTTCGATTGTGAATCATAATCGACATTAATCTTGATTCTCAAAAATATTTTCTTTGCTTTTAATTAAATCTCAAAATTCCTAAAATTATACTTTAATAAGTCGATTTCATTTTAATGTTTGAATTTATCATAAATTTATAACTGGCAAAATATCACAATTTGTGAGAAGAGACCACAAATGAAAAAGTTTTTTCTCTCTTAGATTCATTCTACTTTTGTTTGGTTTGAAATTATCTTTAGGGATGAAGAATAATGATTGATATTTTGAATATTTTTCTATTCTTTTTAATAATTTTATAATTTTTTTTGTTGTATTTCTTCATTCTTACTTATAAGTAGCTAAAATTTTGTATTTTTTGTTTGTTTGTTTTACTTTGTCTCGATCCATTATCGGTTAAAAAAGTCACTTTTTGTATAAATTATTTTTCTAGTTGTTAAAATGATGAATTATGATTGAACCTGTAGATGAACTATGAATTTTAAATTTAAAGAAAGGATAATTATGAAAAATTTAAACTTTCCACACTCACCAGTGTGTTCAATTTCAAGAAAATGTTTGAATGTTTTTAATGTATTGCACTTTTAATCCTTAAATTTATCCTCATCAATTCCTAAGCGTTCATCGGTCATATGAATATATCATCAGATCGTCACGTGTACAATTGTGGTTGGGGAGATGCTTTAGATTGTGAGCTATCATCTAAGACTGTGTCATTTTGAGAGTCATTTGTAACACTGTCAAACTTTTTTTTAAGGAATTTTGAAGAGAAAATTTTTCTTACGTAAGAATATTAAAGTGACAAGAAAAGAAAGGAACAAAAATCTCCAAGACAATGTTTTAAAAAGGAAATTTTCTTAACTAAAAAGTTAATCAAAGTGATATTAATTATTAACGATTCCTCCTGGCAATAATTTGTCCAGAAGGTTGTTATTAAAGCTTTCACACCGACCGTCGAGAATTAATTTCATTTAGTACTTCACGTTTTGCAATTTTTACTTTTTCTAGTATACTAACAGATTCTTGGAGCTTTGCACGCTTTGGGTTATTCGTCAGTTGTTCCATCTCAGCTGCAGAACGTTTCTTGGCTAGTTGTGTTTCAGATGCTGCTGAATTATTAAGTGATGCTTTTTCATGCTTCACATAGCTACTGTCGATGTATTGACCGAGTTGTTTACGACGGACATATCGCGCTTCGATTTTCATTCCTTCCTTAAACATTTTTATGTTGCGCTGTGAAAAAATAATTGTAAACAATGTTAGAATAAATATTGATAAAAACTTAAATTTAATTGACTTACTGCTTGCTTATGGACTTGATCTGTGAATGATTTAATACTGGCAGTGAGATCGACATTGAGATTAGTGCCTTCAAATTCAAGACCAATGAACCACATCGAACAGAAATCTGCATGTGAATCTCCACTCTCACTGCCAGTTGCTGATTGCGATGAAGTTGATTGCTGATTATCCTTTGCTGCTCCTGTTGTTTTCTCAAAAGACTTTGGATTTACATGGGCTAATTTAATGTGTTTGTTACGTTCCAAAGTTCCGATGAGAATACGAATCTTTGACTCAACTAATCCACACCATGCCAAGTGATCATCAGCTGACGTTGAACTCACCAGAAGAACAATAAAGTGTCGATATTTGGTGAAAAATTGTGGTGTTTGGAAGAGTTTCTCCCATCCAGCATTTCCAAGAATTATTTCGTCTGTTATTTCAATTCCTTCCATGAACTTCTTCTGAATAACTTTGGACGTCGATGAAGAGACATTGTAGGTTGAATTCTGTTGTGGATAAGCTGGAGTGATAATTGGCATGAGATGATTTCTGTCAGATGGAGTAACGCGAGGATCCCAAACTGGAAATCCAAGATTGATTGTATCAGGCCGTTTAAGCAAAACTGGTTGTGGCCAGTTCCAGCGAGAGAAGACTAAGAAGAACTTATGGACGATTGTTGCTGCTGCTGCATTTGGATAGAGTTGACATGTTCTTGCGACCAACATAGCCCATGATACTAGAATGAAATTGAAAGTTAAAAACTGCACAAAAAACATCTTATAGAGTCAATTTACCTCCTCCAAAGTAGCCCAAAGAGTTTGAATATATTCCGTGTTCTGTAAAGATTAATAAAAAAAATAATTAATTTAAATTCATCACTTTGCTACACTTTAACTTACTTTTGGCCCATAATTTGATTGTTGTTAAAGCCAGCCTGAAGTTTTCTATGTTTGGAACTAAACGAACGATTTCGTCTGTTACGCGACAACCATTCAGACTTCTAACGCATCTTTGGTCTAAATTTTTTAACAGCATGGCATCACCGAGATCAAAATTGTCGGGAACTTCCTTCAACGCCAAACGAGCGAAGAGCAAATCAATTTCGATCTTGTCAAATTTCATTTTAATGACTGGTACAAAAGCTTCTTCAATAGCGCGACATTCAGTTACTTCTGGTTGCTGTTTCATGAGATCGAAGAAGGACGAGAAGTAATCAGCTCTTGTAACGGTACGTGGAACAACGCAGAGCGCGTCAATATCAGCGCCTTTGTGGTGAACTCCTAAGCGATAAGATCCGAATGTGAAGATTTTCCCTCCGACTTTTTCAGCCATTTGTTCCGGCATATTCTTACTAATCGAAACATCTTTAACCCATTGCTTAACCAGTTCATTCAATTTTCCGAGGATTTCCATCCGAAGATTGAGTTCATTTTCATTTTCAAAGACATTAAAAGGTTCAAGAAACTTTTCCAAATCCGCAGTTTTCTGAATGTCTTCTGGTTTAGGCCCAGCTAATGAGATGGCCGATGTCATGCCAAGCTGCTTAACTGGTGCTTGCTGAGGTGGATTGCTGGATGGTGATGAAGTGTTGCTATTGCCGCTTCTTTGAGAGAACATGATGACGTTGTTTGGATGATAACGATTTTTCAATAAATTGTTTGTAAATAAGTCTCGAATTATTATAAGTTGTTAGATTTATTACAAATATTTTTTTAATTGTTTTAAAACTTTCTAGTCATCCGTAAAATTAACTTGATGAACTTTACAGCTTTTTTCACTGTTTTACAAATATAAAAGTTTCATTCACTAAACACTTAATGCACTTTAAAATCACAGTTTTATAAAAAGTTATAATTAATATTATTATTTTTTTAAGATATTCACTTCGAATGTTTGGTTTTAATTGTTTATTTTATTTAGAGCTAGATGTTTTCACTTTCAATTCTCGAAATAGAATGATGAGTTAAGAAAGTTTTCAAAATATTATAAAGATCCTTTTTACCGTATTTCCACCGAAAAATTAAGAAAAACTTCTGTGCGCGGATTAAAAATCAGGAAAATAATAAAATCATCAATAACTAAAATATTTTGACTACATTCTTATGTCATAAATTACCAATTAGATCAAATAGCAACAGGCGGGTCAGAAGAATTTTTCTATTGGAATTTCCTGTAATTAAAATGTAATTCTGCATCGAAATTAGATATTCATAAATTAATTGCTTGTTGAAGTGACATAATAAAATTTTCATTATAATTCTGCAGTTTAAATACTTAAAATTTCCGTGCCCATAAATTTTTTAAAATTTTTTCCACTAGTTTATTGCAAATAATTAAACGAGCACATCATGATTCTTATTGGAAAAAGATCGAAATGAAGTGCACAAAGATGTTTATATTTAATTTAGCTTCGAGAAGCTTCACTATTGATGATGTCAGAAGCAAAGGTCATACCTTGCAGTTCTTTTAAATTATTTTGCATTATTGCTAAAAAGGTGTGAATAATTGAAGATCACGTGCAGTGTTTCGAATTCTTTGTCAATGATTTCAGGTCATTAAGCATCTGTTGAAATCCTAAAAGTTATCAGAGATTAGTAAAATGAATTTTCTAAAGATTAATTTCTCAAAACAATTAAATTTGATTGATGAATTAATAAATCGTTAACAACAATTAACAATTAACGTTTATGTCTTTAGGGGAAATCCCCATTCTCATCTCTGACATTAATATTTTAGTTCTGTGCAGCATAAAATTGCAGATTTAAAGTGTAACAAATTCTCTTTGGATTGTAATTGTTATGGGCAGCCTTGTGCCTTCAACTTTAGCCAACCACGACGTAATTTTATAATTCAGCGGAAAATTTGCATCTCAATGTAATATGGCATGCCACAAGCGAAATTATGAAATTGAGCAATGACTTTAAAATTTAAACATTCTTCAAATAAAATTTTAATTCATGATTAGCTGGAATTATTAAATATCAAGGAAGGAAAGTTGAATGTCTTTGAGGTTTTCGAAATATCTACTTGGGTCTGCCTTTAAGTCTCAGGAATTGGAAAAAGCTAAAGTGCAACATAAAATATTTAATATTTCTGTTGGTCAAAATACGGAACATTAACGGCTTTTTATGACTTATTTCCAATTAAATTATTATCTTAATAAGATAATTCCTGTGATAAATCATTAAAATCGCGTCAAAAATTGCTTGGCAAATTTTCAACAGAAAGTTTTAAAGTTTAATTACAATTATTTTAACTTCAGTTCTTGTCAGCTCCAGTTACGAAGGAAACTTAAAGAGTTCAATACATTATGCAATCGACAACTGGAAATTTGACTTAATACACGATGAAAATCAACAATTTCTCTGTTTCTTTCTTTTTCTTTCTCGGGTATAGTGTTTCATGCACAAAGCCTTTGTTGTTAACATTACACATTGCGTTGACGTAAATTAAAGAAAAAATATATAAAAGCGCTGAAACAAAAAACATTTCGCGATCTTTTTCATCTGAGAACGAGCAAAGTCTTTCACTCACATTCAATGAAATTCGTAATTATCATGCTGGTAACTGGCAACTGGAGGAAAGGTTGCTGAAAAGATTAAAATTGTAACATGATACGCACACGTATATATTTTAAGTCGCAATCTTTTACCACCTCGCATGAGAAATTGTAATTTAAATTAAATTAATTTAAAAAAGTGATTTTAAGCTTGTGATAAAACAAAACCGTTTTTGTTTTCGCATAAAGTTTGTTTTCTTCTTACTTCCCATTTTCTCTCGTCTAGTCACATTTGTAGGTCAATATCATGAGATAAGTATACCTACAAGCATAAGAATGAATTAATGATCAATTTTTATGGAAAATAATAGCATGCGAAGCATTTATTTAATCGATGAAAGTGAAAATTAATGTTTATCGACTTATGCTTTGCTTCGCTTTTTCTTGTATAAATACATAAATATTTATGTAGGTTACGACATGTCGAATTATGTTTATTGGAAGTTACGAACTGATTGGAAAACTGTAACAATAGTAAGCTCAATAGTAGTCTAATAAATCCGACACAACTAGCTCTAAGTAGTTGCTTAGCGATGAAAATCTGTATGCGGAAAATGCTGGCATTAGTAAGGCACATAATTATTATTTCAACATAAGCAATTAAATTCTTTGGGTTCGGCTCTTTGTCGATTTGATTTCATGGAAATATTTAGATTAGCGATATAATAATAATGCTAAAAGATTTTCATGAAATCCTTTGTCTTACTCAAACAGAACTCTTAATCAAAGCTTAATTGTGCAATCGAATGAAACAACATAACAATTAAACAGTATTTTAATGTCTGGTCTGTTGTTTGAGTATAAATAATAATTAATTGTCAGCATTTGAAATTATCTCACTGATGAAGTTTGAAAATTATTTGCAATAAGCAACTGACCAGCATCTATTTGCTTTTTAATCACGTTTTTCTCATTTACGAATCTCACAATTGGCGTTTTTTCTTACACCAACCGCGTGATTGGTAAATCGTTGTAAATCTCTGCCACAAATTGCAGTAAATTTAGATTAGATTATTGTGGAAGATAAATATATACACAATCAATAGTGAATCACGTACTGAGACAGATATTTATGAACAACGGATAACATAACTTGTGTTCCAGTGTGATTCAGTGTGACGCTGCCGTTTGACTTTTCTGGAGCGCACGTCTCTCAACAATCAAATAAAAAAAAGTAATCGGAAAACTCATAAAGAACGTAAAATTTTCTACATAAAGACTTCATTATTGGTGAACAGAAAAAAAAAGTTATAAGAGATGAAGAAATCAAGATTAACAGAGATCATTCAAATCACGATTTAGCGATAAATTTCTATTCAACAACAATTAAAGTTGAATTCGATTTATCGACGAGTGAGCAAGATTGGACATTGACTTGAACATGAAATAAAAGAAGAAAGAACTAAAATGCAAATCAGAGATTTATTGATTGTTTACTGATCCATGAGATATTGGATCATAGTTCACGATTTTAATTCAAATTATGAAATAGAAAGTTACAACTTAACGATGTGGAGGGTTATTGGTTTATTTGACTCAGCGTCACGGGATGGATTCATTTCATTACACATAAAATTCAAAGCATTTCACAATTTAATCCACATTTATCCTAGCATTTATCAAACTTCATTTCTTTGATTGTTGTTCACTGAATTGTTTGGTAATTTAATACGCGATTGATGGTGAAATTTAACATGGAAGTCAATTTAGCATACAATTGAGAATAAAAGAAGAAGAATTTCATTCATTCAGATATTTGTGTGTAAACCTTTTGTCGATTTACAATTACACAAGTCTTATTTTTATAATTGATTAACTAACTAAACATCCGGAAGCATTTCACTTGTCTCAACCTACTTAAGGCGATCACAATAATTTTAAGCATAAAAAGCGTGGCAATTTTAATCAAACATTAACTGTGTGACAATGTTTGGCTTGAAAAATTCAATAAATTCATTAAATTCACGACTGTAAGCAATACACGAACTTATACAGTTGCATAAAGTAAGCACAAAGTAAAAGTGAACTCACATTTCGATATGTTGAGAATTTAATTATTATTTCACGCCAAGTGCCTAGTTTTTTCAACAGATGTTGCATCACGCTTTCATTGTTTTTTCCTTTAAATCATTCAACTTGTTGATTTATTGCTCTGCAGAATCAATGAAATGCTGATGAAGAGAACACCTATCAGATGTTTCAAAAATTTTAAAACGAAACAGCGAGACTTGTTAATGAAATTAAAGCTCCTTCAACTTGTGATGAATCAATTAGTGCAACAGCTGGCTAGTTGTAAATTTTTGTTTTTGAACTTCTTCCCATCCCGCATCCATAAAAGTTGTATGTTTAAATTAGCAGCGTTTTCGCTGCTTGAAATCAAGTTCCAATTGACCTTCTCAAGCCATCGAGTACCGTTTTTCTGTCATTGATGATTTGATTGTTGAACCGAAATTAAGTTGCATTAATAGCTTTTCAAAACGTTTTTTTAATTCGTTTCGTGGGTATCACATTTATTCCACCTGCGTAGAGTGCAAGTTGAGTTAACTCGCACCGTTAATTCGCACGATGAGAAGCAATCAAATGAAAGCCCACGTAAGTATTTCAACAACTGAATGTTTCAATTGAATATTCTCGACTATGAAGAGCTCGAATTGTGCTCTATAATAAATATTTATTTGTTGAATTAATCTGTGAATAAATGAGATTACGGAAAACTTCTTTTCATCATAAAAATTATAGTAAATTACTAGAACTGAGACAACAAATAATAACGCATAACGCAATGCTGTTCACTTCATCGAGTTAAGCTTCTCAACGCTTATAACGTTAAACGACGAAGGTTAGCGATTTGCATTTTATTTGTCTGCTTTAATTATGCGATTATAAATAGCAGTCGCAAGTCGAATTCTGGAGCGCTAATAAGCGACAAACAAGATGTTTGACGACGCAACAAAGTTGAAAGTTGTTTTGTTTGTAGATCTATGTGACTTCATAACAATAATAAAAAGTCATAATTTGATGTTGAACACAATAAAATCCAACATTTCATTATTCCCCAAGTTGAGATGATTGATTAAAATAAAGAAATATGAAGCAACTTTCAAGTGAAGCTACACAAGTTCAAGGTAGACGTAGAAAGTTTCTTCGAATCAATAAAATCAATTCCAATGCATTGCCATCTACTTAAATTGATGATCTTGAACAATAATCACATGCTGGTTGAATTATCTGCATGATAATTACAATAATCATTATTAATGTATGATGACATTGCAAAATCTGACAATTTTATTTATCTGAATTTCATCTTTAGTCATATTTCCTTAAAGAAATTTGTAATGATTCCGATGTAATTTAATAATTTTAATGCATGCTAGGAAGTCTTGTTTTATAGTGTTTACTCATAGCTACTTGACATCTGCCATCAAAAGAAATCAATCTCTTGTAAATAGAAAAATAATTGCATCATCACTTGTTAACTCTTTATTGATGCAACTCTTCCTACAATAATCTTCAACATCCGCATATATAAAGATGGTCGTTTGATAAATCATTTCGTCAGATTTACAAATCTGTCAGATGTAAATTTGTTTTTTCGCAACGTTTGAAGGTTTCAGTGCATTTGTAAAATATGACGCGACTCTAATTGTGTGAAAAATAAGAGATTGAAATCAGCAAAACAAATAAAGCTTTTTCGATACTCGAATGCCTTATTTGCTTGTATAAATTAAGAAATTACTTTGAGAATAAAATTAGCGCGTGCAGTTACGCGTGTCAACGCGTGCTTTTATTGCAAATTCAATAAATTGTTGCTTTAATTTGAAGTAAAATGAATTGTAGAAACTATCATAAGATCACAGCATTAATCCGTCAGAGAAATTGTTGTGCAATGACAGGTGATTTATTTACATAAATCTAAAGCTTCGTGGTCTGAAATCTGTCAATATGAAGTTTTCATCATATGATATGTCGGCAGATCTCGAATGTCATTATGCAAACGTGGAAAGAAAATTCATTTCAATCCGATTAATGTTTAAGCTTTTTCTTGTTGCACTTATAGTAGTTAATGAATAGTTCCAGTTCCCAATTAAACGACTTAAAACAATGGTTGATTAAATGTCTTATTGATACTGTAAGTCTAATTAATTTCATAATTTTATGGATATCAAAGGGAGATCTAAACTTTCATAAGTCTGAAGATTACTGCGATTAAGTCTTGAAGAGAATTATCGTTCAAGTAACTTATGCCAACGCACAATACCTAATTGAATATGAAAGGCATGAATGAGAATATTTATAGAAGTCTCAACTCCGTTAAACTAACTGTTCATGACAAAGATTCTTAAGAACTTTATAAAATCATAAAAAAGAATTTCAATCGTTTTAATATATAATTATTGATTTAGTTCAACTTCCTTATTGCTAACATACAATTTATGAAAATGTTCTTGACTCGATTCACTTCATGTCGCTCCATATAAAGACTTAGAAAAATGTATCGAGCTAAAGATCAGCGACAATTACAAGAGGTCTAAGAATACTGCGCCCACATAATTCAATAACAGTAAAGCTCACAAATAACAAACTCTGTCAATTGCTCCGTCAAATGATGGAGTGAATTAGCAGCAGAAGGTCGAGGGCGAAAGCTTAATAAAATAAAAGCAAATCGCTACCTTCAATGAATAAATCCATCAAAGAGAAACCACTGCTCAGTACTCAAGCGTCCAGTAAATTATTTCTGAATTATGGGTATTTTCAATAGATGAAAAATAATATTCCACTGCGTATTGCAATGTTGGAGATTCGAATGAACGATCGCTATGAGAAATTATAGGTTTCAATTAAACCACCAAGCATCGAAGGTTTATTCATGATTTTATTAATTATATTCACTTAAATTAGTGACAACCATAAATTAAAGAAGGAGCATTGCAATTATAAATCTGAAATGAGATTTCTCAAGAGAATTTTCTAGAATATGACAGAAAATTGATTTTTCAAAAACTTTTGAAGGATTGAATGAAGATGTCACAAATTTCTGCTTCATAATTCATTATGGAAGAAAGTTATTTGCATTACATACAATTTACGCGAATTTTAAATCTGTTTATGTAAAAACACTTGCAGATTATGATAATTTGACAACTAATAAATCTTGAAGTATGTGCAAAAACAGTAGAAAAGCTTTCAGCAAATGTGTAGATTTTAATTTTTATTACTTCGCTATGTCGCTTGAAGCAATTTATGCAAACAAACATTTTTCCATGTTGATGCTGTCAAAAATTACGATGTGAATATGAATCGAATTGATGTTTGCAGATGACCTCAAGGTAAGTTTCGTAAATATATAAAAAAAAACTTTGCAATTATCTCGATTTTAATTTTACTTGTAAAAGATTTAAATGCGTGGATGAAAAAATGTTTTCGTTTTTGTGTTTTTTCATCATCTTCTTGGTTCATTATGTCATCAATTATGCGCTTTATTTATGACAAACTTAAATTGTGCTAATTAAATCTTAAGATTAATGATACATAAATGTCAATAAATTCAAGATTTCTTACAAAAAATTATAATTAACAAAACAATCTCGTCGCTTTAGTGAACATCAAGAAGGTTTGGCTGTCTTGACTGTCATCGTTCGTTGATGATGAATTTTTCTCACGCATATATCATTTAATTTCCATAAGTAATATTGCTCGATTAACATCTTCAACTTCAAAGTAAGCACTCAGAAAGTATCGCTCAGAAATGGAGGCTCAAGGTTGGATCAAATTTTAAAACAAATTTAATGACAATGATCTTGGGTTGAAGACTTCAATTGTTTCATCTTAAAAGATTCATGATTAAGTGCCATGGATAGAGTGAATTATTTATCTGTACAAACAGTTTCGACGATTACTTGAATTCTTCGAGATCTAATTTAAAGTAATTTCGCAAATGGAAATTATTTCTTCAACCTTAAAAGGGCTTCAAGTGATTTTCGTTAAAAGTTTTGACAACGTAATCAACTTACTCTAATTCCCATTAATCTTAAATGAAAATGCAAGATTATTTCAAATCTTTAGCAAAATCTTGACAGTTTCGTTTAAGGTACTGAAGGCGGTCAAGTCAAGTCATTGCAATTGTGATTTCAAACAAACACAAGATCAACAGATAAAAACGATTTTCTAGCGCAGTTGAAATATGACGAAGTGAAGCAAGAAGAAATTTAAGCTGAAAGGGAACAAATCATAAGTCGCTTGATAAATGATCGTTAATTGTTCATTACGAGACACGGGAAGGTAACAAAAGCACTTGTGACGGTTTCAGGTCTTGAAATTTAGAAGTACCAGCATCAACATCGTTCATGAGCCGAAGGGCGGCATGAGATTTGAGGCAATGAACTGAATCACAAAAGCGCTCTTAAAATTGAGATCAAAATATAAAAGTTTATAATTCGTCAAGTTAAGGTTGTTTGGTCACCAGACCAGGAAACAAGTTCGTTGAGTAAATTGTTTAATTGCGCAAATTTCACATGCAAGTGTAGAGCAGCAGCAACAGGTTGAATGTAAATATATTAACGTATGGAAATAAAAGAGAGAAAAAGCCGTTAGCATTGCAATAAAAGTTTATTTGTCACTTCGATACAGTTTTCGGTCTTTCATGTCCACTCGTGCGATGTGCAACAATCATCGTTATGCAATTGCTTAAAACTCAAACATTTCTTCGTCGTCGAAGTATTTTAAGTTAACACAGCATAATAGCGAAGCATAAGAAGGCGATCAAAGTGAAAGTAACTTTTATTATTAGCTCAATAATTGTGTTGAATGCAGGTCGAAATATGGAGCAGAGGGAAAAGGCTCGCTTGGCTTGGGTAAATTGGAGCGAAGCGAATTGAATGCACCACACAGAAATAAGAAGAAATCAGATCAGAGTGGAGGCAGAGGCAGATTTGAGTGCATTGATTTATGCATCTTACATAATATTTCACTGTTTGTTGTGTTGTTCACGTCATTCATGCATTTAAAAGCGCATGGAAGTCAAAAAGTGCTCTGATTATTCACTCTCGCTTGATTGCATGGCGCGAACATTTCTTCTCTGAACATTGAACGACTTAAAGTGAACTCCAAGCCACCACCAAAGACCTCGATGGAATCAAAATGATGCATGTTTGGTGCAGCGCAACAATAAGTAGAAAACGATGTAAGATGCATGTGGCAATAAAACTAATGAGCTGCCATTAAATGTTGCAAAGTTTCTGCGAAGTGTTGTGATTGCCACTTTGTCATGACAAATTTTTCCTTTCCATTCGCGAACTTATTCGAAAGTTTGAATTCCCCGAAATGTCCTCGAATGATTATCATTCGAACTGATTTGCTTTCTAGTCGTAAAGTGTTTTAATCTACGATGAATATAAATTTATAATCAACATTTTAACGTGAAAGGAATTTAATTGACTTTCGGCACTTTTTGAAGAATTTGTGCAATTTTCATTGTGCAAGTTGCATTCAGATAGAAGGAAAAGAAATGAAAATTGTTTATTTAACGATTATTACCGATAATTTCGTGTACATGTTGGAGTTTGCTTCGAATTGTTTCCCGATAATTCAACTTTTCTATTGTTTCGAGTGAATTTTTTGGCGCAACAGCAACGGCGTGCAGTTTGCGTGGGAATCGCGAATTTCATGTTTCGCTGCTTTGATCCATTTCTTTCTTCACTTGCACTTTTCTATTACGTGACTTTTCATCGTTTTTCTATGACGATTCCATTCTCAAACTCATCTTGTGTCTAATGAAGCGAAGAAAAAAATTGACAACACAAAAGATTTGATTCAGAAAATGGAGCGAAAGTTTTTCAATTCAACAAATTTTCTCACAAATAAGAAAAAAGAAAAATTGAAAAATCTTCAATAAAATTCCATTTTTATTGCTTTTAAAATAAATTGCGTCATAAATCAAATCATCATCGTCTTCATCGCCATCATGTAACAAGATCAGGAAGCCGAAGCATAAAGATGAAGAAATGTTTGCAAACATGAACGAGAGACGAATATTTGCTAAACTTTAGTCGCACTTTCAGCTGATCGATTATTCCGCGATCATGAATCGTGCGCAACGAGAGATGCAATCATGATCAACTATCAAACTATGTCGTTTATACAATCTTTCCAGTTCATCTTAGCGAGGAAATTTCAATTGATTCGCCTAAGAGATTGTGAAGCTAATGTCATTGATTATAGACGGTCTCGGAGTAATTTTCCCTTTCTACTTAGTCGTCTATTTGTGGACCGAGCGGGGAAATTGAAGTAGCAATTCAATAGCTTGTTGGCTTTTTAAACTACTCAATTTCAAGAGTTGTATCATCAATAACGCATTAACAAAGCAGATGAAGCACAAGATTAAGATCGGAAGTAAACGAGAATATTTCCTTAAAAACTTGAATTTCCGATCGTAATAAAAAACATTTATGGAAACAACTTGTTTCAATCTGAAAACAATCAAAAACGAATAAATTTATGTTAATAATTTATTAATCCTCCATAGAGTGGATCATCTCCATTAAAAAAGACTGATGTGAATCAATTTATTTTTGATATCTAAATCGTTGTAAAATATTCGAAGTTTCAAGTCAAACTACATCAATCAAATATTTTTCAAAAATTAATCTGTAGCGTTTTAAACTATTAGATGGATATCACTTTATTATTTCATTCCACACTTTCCATCATTTCAATTTCATTGAAGCACGTGTCTGAAAATATGTTTTCCTATGTAGGGTAAAAAGAAGTATGAAGCAACGATGAGGTCAAATAGCAATCAATTTTATTGATCATTTATGCTATTTTCTTCAATGATGACTACAAATGATCAATAAAATTGCTTCGTTTTTGACAGGGACCGAGATTTGACTGAGATTTGAATTAAATCTCAATTTTTGGCACTGCACTGAGATAATCTTTCGATGATTGCTTTTCATTTTATTGATGAAATTAATTCTCAAACATAATAAAACATAAAAATAAATCATTTTTCATCACTGAATCACAAGGAAAGAAAATATTTTAACAAAAGTCCCAAAATTACAAAACTGAATGAAGTTGACAGGCGATTAGCCGCTGCTGTCGTTATCGTTTCTTGATAAGGGCCAATTTTAGATGCAAAAGCAATAAGAATTGGAATATTATTCTGCTCATAACTTCCTGTAAATAAATGCGACCAAGGCCCTGAAGAATAAACGGCGACATCTTCCCCTGTGTGAGATGTTGTTGACTTTGGAACGTTTGTCGAAGCACGTCGTTGTGGATCCTTCATATCAATTGTTGTGAAATCAACTCGATACGCTGAATCACTCGAGACTGTTTGATACCCTGGGCCATTGGCATAACTCAACGTTTCATAAGGTAAATAATCTACGTCACTTACACCTGCAATTCCTAAAATATTTTTGCCCCTTTGTGGATTGCCAGTATAAGTCATTGGATGACTGTGATCAGCAGTTACAACGATCAAAGTATCTTCTTCATTGGTCATATATCGTGCAATCTCGATTGCTTTTGAAAATTCAGCTGTTTCACCTAATGCTAAGTGCGGTCTGTTTGAATGATGTGCGAGATCAATTCTTCCACCTTCAACAAGCAACAAAAATCCTTCTTTGTGTTTCTGTAGCATGTTTATTGCTTTCACAGTCATGTCAGACAGTGATGGTTCTTGATGCTGAAGACCATTGTTATCGACATCTACTTGATACCTACAATGAGTGTCTTCAAAGAGACCAAGCAGGTAATCCGTGTTTTCAATATCGATTTCATTCAACTCTTGTCTGTGTCCAACATAAATCGCTTTGCCACTTTTATTCCTTTCTTCCAACCATTCGTCAATTAAATTCCTTCCATCACTTCTCAATCCTGGTCTTCCTTCTTCATCAACGGCTGTTGTGTTGATGAAATTTCGTCTTCCACATCCTAAAATCACTTTTAAATTCCTGCCAACTTCATCATGAACTAATTGATGAGCGATATCAGTGACGTTTTCATATTCACGACAAGCAGTTGTAATTGCAGCATTATATTCCCAACCACGATGCGATGCATGACTGTAAGCAGCAGCTGGCGTTGCATGAGTTATACGAGTAGTTGTCACAATTCCAGTTGCCAAATTTGACTTTTGTGCCCAGCTAATGATTGAATCGACATGATCTTCTTTATGAACCAAACATTGTCGATTAACAACATTCGCATTCACTCCAACGGAATTGTAGTTGGTTTTAACACCAGAAAGATAAGCAGTTGCAGTGCACGCTGAATCAGGGACTTGTGCATTGACGCAGTAAGTTTTTGATATTCCAAAATGTGGAAATTTCTCAAATGAAAGTTCAGTTTCTTCCTTTCCAAGATACATTCTTGTAGCTGCAATTGTTGGGAAACTCATTCCATCGCCAAGAAATAAAATCACGTTCTTCGCTTTGTTCTCGTTAATTTTGCGGTTTAATCTCATCGTGATGTCATGTCGAGCTTTATTTCTCCAAAATGTTGGTGAACCTTCCATAACATTTATCACCGGCGATGTAGGCGCGACGGTTTTGCTATGAATTTCATCTTTTCCTGAAGAATTTGCGAAAATTAAAAATAAAAATACAAAAACTTTCATCTCGGACGGATTCACTCTTACGACTGAAGAATTTTAATTCAAATTCTAATTAATCTCACTCAAAATGATTGCAAAGTACGTAAATAAATATTTGTAAAATGATAAGAAAATGTTTATCGTACACGTGAAGCACTTCAAAGTTTAAATATAATTTTGGGAATTTTTGCTATATCGTGAGAGAAAAGTATTTGATTAATGTCAGTGCGTTTGATTAGGATTGGATTGAGATTTGGATTAAATCCATTCAACGTGAAATTTAAAACATTTTTGAGATTTCTCAATCCTGAGTCACTGGCAGTCAATCTTTTGGAGCTTTCGACTTACAAGTGAACTTAATATATTTCATATCGACATTTCAAAACGTTTCATGTACTGCTGCCATTCATTTTTATTACATGCCATGCCACTTCATTCTCTGTTATTGTGTTTGGCTTTGTAGTTAAATAATTGAACTTCAACTGTTGCATTTCTTATGCAATTTTTCTTGTGCATTCTTTCTAAGTCTCATAAAGTATAAATAATGTTGATGTTTCCATAATGATACTCGTAATTCATACATACCCACTTGTTTGTAGAAGAAGAGAAAAAAGAACGTTTAGAAATGAGGTCAAACTTGCATTGTGTAAAAATTTCTTTGTTTTTATTTTATTTTCTGCTCATCCCCGCAATCTAATTAAAAAAATTATTTTTTTTCTAACATTTCATTTTATTTGGATATTTAAAAGTTTGATTTGATAATTATCTGATTTAATTAACTTATCTTATAAGTTTGAGTTTGCTTCGATGGAATAATCGAAATTTAATCTTTTCAAATGATAATTGAAAGATGAGAAAAGAAATAAGAATTAATTTAAAGGCAATTGCTCGTGAAGATACTGTCTTGGACCATTTTCTGCAAAGTCAGATGCAGCGTGATCGACTCCATCCAACACCCACTTTGTTGTTAATAAACCTTCAACTCCTACAGGTCCACGTGCATGAATTCTCGCTGTTGAAATTCCAACTTCAGCGCCTAAGCCAAAGCGATAACCGTCAGCAAAACGTGATGAAGCATTATGAAAGACACAAGCCGAGTCAACTTGGCTTTGGAATCTTTCTGCTGTTTCTTTGTTTTCTGTCACAATCACATCAGTGTGAGAGCTTCCAAATCTATGAATATGAGCGATTGCTTCGTCGAGATCTTTAACAATTTCTACGCAACATTCAAGTGCTCCATATTCGTGTTTCATTGTTTTAGCAGGCGGTGGGCCGAAAGTTAAATGTTTAGCTAATTTCGGTCCTGAATAAATCGTAACTCCTTCGCTCTTCAACATATTACAAATGTCGTTGAAAAATGTGACATTTGATCCCAAGAAAAGATCTTCATGAACCAGAAGAGTTTCCATTGCATTGCAAGCTAAGTAAATTATAATTTTATATAACACTTGCAACTTGATTTATTTTTTCATTAACTCACCAGCTGGATAGTCGCATTTGGCATCACGAACAATCTTAATTGCCTTTGCCAAATCAGCTTCACGATCAACAAATACGTGACAAATTCCTGAATAGAAAGTTAGGAATGTCGATTAAGTGACAAGTTTTGTTAGTTTGGATCATAAAACGCGATTTTTAGTAAAAAAATGTCAATTAAAACTAATGAAATGATAATTCAAGAATTAATGAACAATCGACATCACTAAAAAGAAACAAATTAATGCAAACCTTCAGCATGTCCTAACACTGGAATTCTTTGTGATTGATCTTGAATATTACGAACTAATTCTGATGATCCCCTCGGAATGATCAAGTCAATGTGCTTCTCCATTGACAACAAATCTGAGATTTCTTCTCTTGTTGAGACTAATGAGATTGCATTGGTAGCTCCAACTGTGCTGAGCGCTTCTTTTACAAGATCCATCAAAGCTTTGTTACTATGAGATGCTTCCTTACCACCTTTCAGTAGAAGTCCATTAGCTGATGCTATAGAAAGTGCTGCAACTTGTGGCAATGAATCGGGACGTGATTCAAAAATCACCAGAAGAACTCCAATTGGCTTTAAAACTTTATTTTGTAGAAGAGTTTTTTAAATAATTTAAATGATCTCATCTCACCACAGTTATTTGCTTCAAATCAAGTCCCTCTGCAAGTTTTGTATGTCTAAGAACTTTACCAACAATTGTGTGACTTGTCTCAGCGATTTGTTTCAAACCAGCAGACAACCCACGAAGTTTTGCTGGTGTCAACGAGAGTCGATTCAATAAAGGCTTGGCTAAACCGTTCTTCTGCGCTTCAAGCATGTCTTTTTCATTTGCATCAAGAATCATTTGTTGTTTCGATATCAAAAGATCAGCCAATGTTTCCACACATGATGCTCGTTCAGCGGGAGATAAGTTTTGCATGACACGACTGCCATTGCGTGCTGAAAGAGAATTTTAAACTTTGAGTTGTTAAAATAATTTGCATTTCTGGCTACCATTTTCAGCCAGGAACTCCACGGGAGTGCTACCAGTAGTTGTTTCAGTAAAGAAAGTTCCGACCTTCCTCCCACCCACAATTGTCTTTATCGCATGATCTTGACTTCCATTACATATCACGACACTAACTCCCCGATCCAATGCCCATGTTGCTGCATTCAATTTCGAATCCATTCCACCAGTTCCAACCTTTGACTTCTTCCCAAATCTGATGTGATCATGGTCATCACGAGTGAAGCTAGAACAGCAAACAAATTGCAACATGAAAACAACATCTTCAATGATAGAATTAATTATTACGTGTGTAGCAAACGCGCGCCCTCTTCCCACGGAGGCTTATTGTAAATTCCATCGACATCTGACATCAAAATAAGCAAATCAGCTTTAACTTCTGCTGATAACATCGCTGCTAATGAGTCGTTATCTTTGATGCTGATACCCTAAAGAGATTGAGCATTCCATTCGAGATAGTTTAATGTTTATGAAATAAAAAGAAAAGAAATAATATGGCAATGATCATGTTGAGCAACATAATTTTACAACAACCTACTTTATCATTCTCATCTATCTCATATAAAGTGCTCTAAATGAATAGGCAGAAGAAGAAAGAGAAAAAGAAAATTTTTCACTTAATTTAATTGCCAATTTTTTAACTGCAAAACTTCAAAGAAATGTCACTGAAATGATTTCAGTCAATGAACTTTGAAGCTTTGTTTCTTTTCATCACTGCTTTCGAATGCTTAAGAAGATTATAAAATTAATGAATATTTAATAAAGAGACACGATGTGATGAATGATGTTTAATTTACGTTGTAATTTCCAATTCTGTTACCCTTTTTGAACCTTTGACTTTGACTTCTTCATCAACTATAAACATTGGCGGTGAAACGGCATCATTTGTGTTGATGATTGGTACGATGTTTAAGCTGATTAATTCTGAAAGTGTCGCAAAAAGATTCTTCCGCGTCTCTTCGTTATAAAAGTCAGCTTTTGTCAAAAGAACTTGAGCTATGCGAAGACCGTATTGTGCAAACATCGCATCGTATAAAGACATCAAACCACTTTGTCCAACAGCAGCAGCCGCTCTCGGTTCCAAAGTATGTGCTGGTTCATCGCCTTTTGGATGTAATGTTTCTCTCATGGTCAACGTCATAAGCAATTCTTGTGTGAGTTTTTGCTTTCCAAATGCAACTGCACCGGAAGTGACCTAAATAAATCAGCGAAGAATAATTAGCAAGATTAATTTAATCAATGAAATGACTTGCCATGATGCATTCTCTGCCTTCAAGTTGACATTCAGCGACTTGTTCGACAATTGAAGCCAACCGACCCAAAGCTAATCCATTCTGATCTTCACGAGTGATCACAGCGCTTCCCAATTTAACAACTAAACGTTTCGCATATCTAAGTTGGGAACGATCAGTAAATGTCGCTTGTCGTCGATCAGCTGTTTGTAAAGTTCTCTTATCAATCGGTTTCTGTGAAAGATTTTTTTGAATTAACATTTTAAAGCAAGTTCATTCTCAAGGAAATAATCGTTTCTGTTGATAAGTAAACTAAATGCAAATTTAGTTTCAGGGTTCATCTCATTGAAGTTCAAATCAATTTATAATTTAAAGAAAAAGATTTATGCTCGTGTAATGTTACATCACAGCGACGCTCGCGCTCATCACGTGCAGACAAATTGATCTTTAACATTGAGTACGCATAAAATCTTATCACTTTGGTCTATAGTCGAAGTGCCATAAGACAAGTAAACAAACCAGAAATCACTCATTTGAGAAGCTTACTCTAGGAAGAGATAATGAAAATGATTTTTCATTTATTTTTGACTACTTTCACAAATATTATGTGTCATCAAGTTATAATTGTGATTGTAGACGATTTTTTGCTTTTTTTCGTTGATGGGAGACACTCGGCTAATGTTATCAAAATGAATTTAAAATAATAATAATTAAGGAAAGTTAAGAAGTGATAACTTGTTCTAAATCACTTATCACTTGTTGACCCATATCATTTGAATCAATGTCACTTCCAGAACTTCCATTGTGCGATGAATGAGGTTGAGTTATGCTTAATTGAGTTGGGTCATAATTTATCTCGCTTGTTTGTTTATTATTGTGTCAAATAATGTGAACGGTCATTCAACCACTTCACTGATCATACCACGAAATTGTTTGAAAATCCAGAGAGCGGTCTGACTGCAATTTTATTCACATATGCGTTGAGATGTTTATCAAGCAACTTTCGGGATGATTTGATCCGATAAAGTTGGTTTGCGAGTTTTGTTCCTCTTCGGAAGATGGCAGACATGATTTCAATTAAATATTTATGAGCTTTTTTTATTTTCTTCTTCCCAACTGATCACTCAAAATTCTCAAACTAAACTAAACGAAAAAGATTCTTGCTCGAAAAAGTGATGATGTTTTCTGTCGTTATTTGCTTTATTAGTAAATTACTGATAAAGCTGTGAATGTAGGATGAGAGTGTTTTTTGTTGGTGTAATCAGAGAACAAATAAACATTCAAAAAGAAAAAGTCGAAAGAAAGAATCAACTGTCATAGTCACAGAGATATGCATGAAAATATGAAAGCATCGAAAACAATCATTTTTACAATAAAGTTTTAATTGACGCATACGCATGAAAACAAGTCAAACTCAAATTGAAACAATTAACAGTGTAAAAATAAAGTGAAATGAGAAGCATTTAAAATTTTTCCTTCTATCGGCTTTCAGTTTGAACGAGTTAATCATTTAATTCGCGGTTCACGACTAATTTGGTTATAGGAAGAAACTTTCAACTTAACTTTGTCGTCATTTCACATCACGATGTGATCTGCTAAACTTTGAGCCATTGACCATTGTCACTTCCAATCAATGACAAAATCTCTCTTTTTTGTGCTCGTTTGTTGGGTTTCGCTTCAAGGAAGGAAAATTGAACAAAAAAACTTATTTTGATTAAAGTTTTTTGCTTGTGAATTCTTTCATGAGACTGAAATTAATTTGAAATCAAAGAGACACGCAGAGCGAAACTTGACGGAAACTAAAGCAATGATTGTTGAAGTTCAACAAAAGATTTCTTTGCTTACATGAAAGCTGAGATTTGAGACTTGAAACTCGACAATGTTGGCTTTAGGAAGTGAATACGATACTGACATTAGATTGAGCTCGTCTGAGGTCGAATTCTGAATCTTTCTTTTGTTATCTTTCTACTCAACTACCAAAGTTGTTAATGATCGTTTGAAATGTCGAAGTTGTCACATAGAAGGGAGATAACATTTACATGCAGCTTCTACTTCAGAGATCCTGATGAATGACTTTTGGCACCGGTTGTTTAGTTAAAAGGTAAAACAAACAACCCTCGTCGTCGTCGTCGTCGTCGCCGTTGTCACTAGACGACCTTGAAGGTAATTCAGATTTAATTTTCCTTCTCTCTTTCTATCCTGCTCAACATGGTTTAACGATTTGTGCTTTAGTAAGAAACTCGTTCGAAGCCAACGAAACTCTGCTCAACTTTAATTTAAGTAGTTCATAAAAGATCGAGAAATATTATTTCACGTATTAATTACACAGAGTCGTATCGATGTAAAACATTTATGAAAATTCATTGGAATTCGATTCCCAACTACATTGAGAACAAACGTTCTTGATCGTTCTTAGTTGCGGATGTAAATGAGTTCTGAGGTGTGGTAAATGTGCAAGTACATCTTGTGGGATTAAAAATGTTCCGCAATTATTTATTTAATTGCAATTTTATGACAAGTTGTGAAGTGCGGAGAACGTGTTAAGAAATAAATCGAGTTTGATTTAAATGAGTATTTCTTGAACACATTTTTGTATCGTCAGGGAAAGCGTGAAAATCAATAAATGACATTTGAAACAATCATTGACCGCAGTTAAGTCGTTGATTGAGCAGCTTTGTGAACGTAGACAAAGTTCATTCCCCAAATACTTCATAAAAACCTTAAATACTTTCGATTTCGTTTTCAAATGTGACGATACGATTTACGCCAATGATCCGCTTGATTTAAAAGTTTTTTTTAGCACAAAAACTCGTTTTACATGTTGAGATTAATTTTATTTAAAATAGCAAAGCCAAAGACATTTTATCGAGTCGACTATTGAAACTTTATGCAAATCATTTTTAATCTTGAAATGACTCTCAAGAATATTCTACTGAGTCTGCCAAATTTATTGGCATTCTAATTTTTTAACGTTCTTTCTTTCTATCGTTGAACTTTTAATTTTATTTTCAATGATTTAAGATTTAAACATCATCGCCAAATTCGTTCTTTTGCAGCAGTTACAACAATCCCTGAACTTTAACGTTGCCTTTATTAGCTTCTTAACAACAAAAATCTATGTACGTTCATAAAGATTAATTCTCTGACATTTCAAATTCAATTCAATAGAATTAAGAAGCTTTAAATTGAAACTTTTCTTACACATTTAAATAATTTCTAACGTAAACAAATTTCACACATTAATATCGAATTTTAAAAATTCACTTCCCAAATTGTGATTAAAAAAGAAATTAATTTGAATCTATTGTTGATGCTCAACTTTCGATTAATTTTCATATTTTTTAAGCTTCACACAGCTGCCGCTACATGAGATGATCACTTATGGGTTTTCAATGCAAGAAGCTTTTAGTAAGCACAAGCAAACAAAAGGCCACTGCTTTATTATGTAACAGATTTATAAGTCTTTTTGTCTCAATTTATTTAAAATTTGAATTCAATGGCAAATGAATTAAAAGGTTTAGTCTTAAAACACTGGGATGATCACTAAAAATTCGCAAACTATCGTGAATCAATGGCATTTAAACATTTTTTTGTCTGGTTTGTCTGGTCAAATGGAATTCAAAGTCACTGATCAATTTACTCTAAGTAACATAATTTATCATCATCATCATCATCATCATCCACTCGCTTTCTCGTGTAAATAGTTGAAAGTAAAAAAGAAAAACTTAAATTTTCTTTTTTCCGCGAAAACTGTGCTTGTGTTCGAACGTGTTGATGATTGTACGCTTAATCAAAAAATATAAAAAAATGAAAACGATTCGCAAATCAAACGAACGAATGAAAGAAAATCTCGTTTGTTTGCTTTGTTGTTTGTTGGTGGTTGTTTAAAGTTTAAATAATCACAAAAATGTTCGCTTTTATTTCACTTACTTATCTCAATTTAACACTTAAATAAGAGACTGATAGATGATAAAAAATACTTTTATAATTTAGATTTTTAGAAATTTAACACACCTGAATTTAGCAGCAAAACTGCAGTGAACAAATAAATTAATCCACTTTTTGTTCCCATTTCGTTAAGCGATGACCAGTTTTTTTATATTTTTTTCGGGACTGAAAGTTGCCCGAATCGCTTGCAAAATTTTCCTTTTATTGAATTAAACTTTTTTTTAACGTTACACAACTTTTTCAAACCTCAACTTGCAACACAAATCAGCACATTTTTTGAATTTAAATTAAGCATTGACTTAATTTTTTATATTTCAATTTTCTTTTCTTTTGCTCAATTGAAAATAATTTAAATTTTAATTATCTTTTTATTCTCATTTTGTTTTCTGCAAATTATTTCTTTCTTTTTTCTTGTCCAAATAATTAATTTTTTTAAGAGCGTTTATGTCGATCAACTGCAGCTACCTCGCGTTCACGTTCAACTGACTTTGTTCTCGCTGAAGAGAAGAAAAAAATCCAAAAGCGTGTTGAACTGTAGCAGAAAAACTTGAAGAGCAAAGCCAGAGCAAAGCAAACAACTAAAAGCTCTCAATTTCTTCTTAGACTCAAAAAACTTTGTAGCTATACGAAACATGATCATTGCTCAAAGTTTTCTTTAAAGTTATGTTAGTGTTAGTTTTATAGGAAATGTTTTATAGCAACATTTACTTTACTTCCTACAATGTTGCATTGCTTTACCACAATGTTTTCAATGTTGCTCAGACTGCTTTTAAAACAACATTTATTTCATAAAAACATTGGTTGCTGAGATTCACGGAACATTAGAAAACATTGATTATTTTAAAATATCTAATTTTTACATTAAAAAAGGAAGTCGTACACCAACTGAGCACACAGATAGCTAATTTAGCTTTATTTTAAACCAAACAAATGGAAATTTGCCTTGAAAACAGGGCTTGAAGCATTTCTTCAATGTTTTCACAAAAAATGAATTCATGAAATTTTCAAAGCTCAACACACACATATCACGCATTTCAGATTAGTGAATCTTTATTTTTTGTAAATTCCTTTTAGAGTGGATTAAATTTAAATATTTCGTTGAATTTACATTTGAAACCTGTTTAAATTCCTATCTTAACCACAAATAGAACATATCTGCAACAAAAGCTAATTGCGGAAAAACAGCAATCCTATTAAAACCTGTGGTTAACGCGTTCGATCACTTAGCTAGAGCAATGTCCGCAAGTTCATTGAGGATATGCGTATTGTTACTCTTAACTACAAGTCATCATCATCAGAGCAAACGACGATGCAAACACTTAAAGTTCATAAAGAAAATTAACTCTATTACTTTTTAAATATTGTCAAGGCGCTGACTTGCGTTGTTTATTTTAAAAAGAGAGAAGTTAGGTAAAAAATACAAGTTAATTTATAAAAATCGAGGCAAATTCACGGTCGAAATTAGTCATCCTTCATGGGATCATAATTGCTTCTCTAAACAAACTAAATTTGCGTGTTAGCTTGAGGATTGATGAGCAATTTGATTTTAAGTTTAAACAATGTGATCATTCACTTAGGTACTTAGAAATTGTGATAGATATCTTTGTGATTTTTATTCTTGTACATAAGAAAAGATTTTTGTTGATCGTTTGAGGAAGTTTACAAAAATTAAATAAAAGAATTCAATTGATTTACTCCTGAAATTACCATCACAATAAGATTTTTTTATTATAGTTTGTCGGTCTTAAGTAGCCTTGTTGCTCTCAAATAACAGTAATTGATCTAATGCTATTTTTTTAAGGCTCATTGAGTTTCGTGTTTATTAAGTTTCGTTGCAGATTGTAAACCGTAATTCGGTTGAATTTCTAAAAGATTTTTAACTTCAGAATGCGTATGATTATGATTGAAGCTTTAACAAGCAATTTAGGCAAACAATAAAAGAAAAATCTACTGTAATTTTCTAGCTCCGGAATTACCAGTTTACGTCCATGAAAAACTAGTAAAGCACACCCAATTTACTTTTATTATTGAATCTTTCAATGTCATTCTTAATTCTTTCTTCTAAACTTTTTTCAATTCAAACATTTTTTATTGAAACTTGCTTTTGAATTTATTTTAAACAAAAACGAGATTGAACGATATTAGTCACAATTTTGAATTAGTTCTTTGCATATTTTATCTTGAACCGACGTGCCAATTGCAAAAGGTGCTTTATGAGGTATAAAAATTTATGTTGTTGGCCTTTTTAGACTGCAATTGTTAACAAATATTTAAGGAATTTTATTGAATTAAAGAAAGAAAAAATGTTTTAATGGAAACGGAATTTAAGGCAGTTCTCAAAAGCGGAGCGCACCCTTCAATGGATTGAGTGATAATTAACTTTACGCGCGACCTTATGAGCAAAAGTTTTCTTCATAATTTGAAAGCGGTTTAAAAGAGGCAATTAAGAGTTAAGCGATAACTAAAGTGAAATCATAATAACTTTACTAAGGTCGTCACAGCTTCAAAATATGAAACAAATCAATTAATTTATTTTTTAAAAAAGGAGCGAGTTATCTCATCGACACTTTAAATTTATTTCATGTGGGATAATTTCGTGAATGAAATCGAATTAAAGAAAGTGATTCGTTTCGAAATGCATTTATTACTTTTTTTGTTTTATTTTTTCATTCGATAATTTTACTTCTAGGCTTTAATCAACTCTCTCAGTACTTGATGTCAAAATAATGTTAATGCTTATCGTGTTAGACGTTGCATAAAAAGTAACAAGCTTAATCTGCATCAAATGTGTCGAAAACTTTGTTAAAATAATTTATGCAATCTTATGTAATATCAATAGCTGCTGCTGCTGCAACAGTTTAAAAGTAAACTCATTGAAATAAACATTAAAAAGAAATATTATGAGACCTATCGAGTTTTATTTTTCAAAAACTATTAAACCATTTTCTCATTTACTTTATATTTAAAAAGTTCATAAAATCATTGCACTAAGCGCTCTTAAGATTCACACAAAGCTCTTCACCTGCATGTAAAGTGTTTTAGTTTTTAATTGCAACATCAGGAAGAAGTCTACATGATACTCATAACTTGATTTCCATCAGCAGTACAGGTGGAAAAATATTAAAATAAAAAATATTTTAACGTTTCGAAAAGAACAAAGGACGGGCGATGAACTTTAATAGATGCTTGTAAGATC